GGAGCACGGGCGGGCTGGGTATGAATTGCAGCGAGGCGGCTGTGTCTAGACTCGGCGTTTGACGAGTGGGATAATCACTAGGCTTTAATTACTACAAAGGAAAGAGGATCCTGCCTTGTCTTTGATACGGCTGGGTAGGATGTCGTCTGTATTTCTCTGCCTCCCTTGGATCGGGATGAAGCCCAGTGGGGTTTGTTCCTCCCGCTGGGTGCAGGGGAAGCCCTCTCAGCTGATGTGGAGGGACCCATTGGGCTGCGAGCCCCTGGGAGCAGCAAATCCCACTGGAGTTTGCAGCGATTCAAACCAGGGGACGTAGTTTCGGCAGGGTCACGGCGGGCTGCACGGCTGGAAGGCCGGGTCTGACCCTGTGCGCCGTGTTCTCGGGTAGTTCTCAGAAGGGATTTACAGGCAGCGTCGCACCTTGAAACCCGAGCTGTAACTCAGGCTCCTGCAAACTGTATATTTAACAGCGAGGCGCGGCGATTCTTTATTGTGTCCTGATGCCGAATGATTCACGTCGCTCCAAATCACATTTACAGAGCAGAGTGGGAGGGCAACGATGTTCCCCAGCAGCCTCCTCCGCTCTGGCTTTAACATCCTTGCTATCTGGTGGCAGATCTTCTGTGCTTAGAGGATTTTACAGCAGCGTGGCTGTAAAGTCCCTGGAGTAAATGCCAGACGTCCTTTGGGGGCTCAGCTGGGAGCATCCTCCGTGCTTCCTTAAGAGTAGCGAGTCTCTGAGCTGGCTGCTCACCCAAGCTGCAAATAAATGTCTGCTGAAGTACCTGCCAAGCAGCAGCTCTGCTCGCTCATCGTCCGTCTGTGTCGGGGTCGAGCTGCTGACGGTGTGAAGTCGCTACTGTTAATAAAGGGAATCGGGGTTTGTTTTAGTGACTTGGTTGACTTTTGGTCACTTGCGGTGGGATGTGGAAAATGGTACCGGGGCACAGAGGTTCAGCTGGTAAATCCAGATGGGTTTAGTAATGGGGAAAAGATGCTGGTGTCAGAAGGAGCGTACTTAAGAAAAGAAATGTTGCACTCGTTACTTAAATGAGCCACGGGGCTCCGAGTCCTTGTAGAGAAACCTCGTTACGTGGAATTTGTGCTTTTTCCCTGAAATGGGAGCTGCTGCATCAAAGCAGCTGCCGTGGCACAGATGGTTTCAGCTGGGAAGAATCTCTGGAGCAGCAGCGGCTGGACTCAGGGCTGGATCTGTCCTGGGGTGCCCTGGGCCCCTTTCAGCAGCATCACCCAGCCTCTGCTCTAATTTTCTACCTCTTGCCCGAGGCTGTCATTTTTTTTCCCCATTCTCAGGGGGTGTTTTTCCCTTTGACAGGGTTGTTGTGCACTGGGGCTGCCGGAGCAGGCCCTGCTCACCTAACATCTCTTTTGGCAGCACTCAAGTCCTGGGACAACGTGATAAACTTCTGGTGGAAGGAAGGAAGTGCTGTGGGGAGAGAAAAGAGGAGGCAAGCCCTCTGGGGGGCCAGAGAGGGTGTGAGCCGGGTCGTGGGGTCGGTACCGATGGTTTGCCTCTGTCTGATTGTGTCCCTGCAGCTGGAAAATTCCCCTTTTTGCCCTGTTGCTGCTGGTTTCAGAGAATCCAGCTTTGTCCCAACTTTTCAGGCTGCCCTGATCTGCAGCTCTCCCCCAGTACCGAGAGGAAAACTGCTCCGTAGAAATGGCCAGTTCCCATCATGAGAGCACGAGTGGTTTGCTGACACTTGCCCAATAAATTCTCTCCTCGTTCCCTCCTTCCCTGAGCAGGAGCAGAGCCCGTGAAGGAGGGCTGATGGATAAAGCCTCTCCAGCCATGAAAACTGTCGTGATTCATTGGGGTAATAATCAGCCGGAGCCCCGCGTGTGCATCCGAAAAGTTCATTAAGTCGTTGCAACTTATATAACGCGAGGCTCCTTCTGCAAAATGGGACGTTCACCAGTTTCAGATGGTTCCGACTGCATCTGTAATAGCGTTGACGCGTTCCTGCCGTGCTTGGCCCGGAAAACTGCTGCTTTCGAAAGGCATCAATTCATTTTGAGTTTTAATAGCCAGCCTCGATGATGAACGCCTCCGGCAATTTCTGTATTGATTTAAAAATATCCTAATGCCCCTTTCTGGAGCGTTTCAAATGGTTATTGACCAGCCTTGTCAAGCTGGGTTCTGTGGTTTGGTTTTTATAGTCGTGACTAACTGTGAATTGATATGCGCAGGGCTTCAAAAAAATAAATAAAACTGGTGCACGTAATCGCTCGTAAATTGATGAAACGCTCCCCTCACACGTAGATCTGTACCCCTATTGTTCTGGTTGCAGCCCTACTCCTTGGATTAGGCATTTTGCCTTTGCAAGGGCTAAATGCAACCTGGTGATTCGCTCTCCTTTCCTCTTGGTTGGCGTTGTCACTGGGTGTAAGCGTCTTCTTCTCTTCTGCTTTCCAAGATGCGAGTCAAAAAAATGTCTTGGTGTTACATTTGTGGAGTTGTGCACTCCTACGCTTCTCGCAGCCTGCAGTAAATAAACCACCCAGTTCAGTGGGTTGCTCGGGGTGTGTGGCATTAGGATTTCCAGCTCCAAACAGGCTCATCCCCGAGGAAATGTCGTCTTGTGACCTACCGGGAGAGAGCCCTGGCTCGGGGTGATCGGTGCTGTCAGGGCTACCTTTCCCCATCTCCGAGGGTTCCCGAGATGAGCTTCGTGTCGCACATCCCATCTGTTTGCTGTTGCTCATTTCCACCTTGCCGGGGGGAGCAGAGCCTGTTTTCACACATTGTGGTGCTTATGTTATTACTAATAGGGAGGAGGAGGAAGGGAAGCAGGCTGCGGCAGCACGGGCAAAAGACTCCCAAATTCCTTGGGTGGAAGTCGTCAAGATGCTGCTGAGTTAGCGATAGGTCTTTAGGTTCAGCTGCCTTTTGAGGAGAAGTCATGAGCTGAAGGTCGTCAGACTCTTTGAAGAGGAGAAGTCTTGAGCTGGAAGCCTCTCGGAGGTTGAGGGTACTTAGAGAGCGGCTCCTCAGGATAAGCCTGGCAGAACACTTGGTAGCTTTGTCCTTCGCTTCATTCTCAGTTGTAGAGTGAGTGAGAGAGCT